GGGGGGAGCAGGGGCTCCGAGGTGGGGGCAGCTGGAGTATGGGGTCTTGTGGTGGCACAGGGGCTCGGGCGGGAGTGGACATGGAGGCATTTGACTAGGTCTTGCTATGGCCACAAAGAGAAAGGCCTGGCATCTGCACCAGGCCCTGTGGGTGCACACCTGGAGGACAGGCGCACACCCGGACAGGCACACCTGGACCGTGGGCGTGTGGGGTGCAGAGCTGAGGGCCTGAGGGGAGGGATGAGCAGGACCCAGGAGGTGGGTGCCCCATGCCTGGCAGACACTTCAGGGTGGACTCAAGGAAGGTGCTGGTGGGCCACCTGACAGAGATGGACCTGGGTGCCAAGGAGCTGTGCAGCTGCGGGGCCTGGCCAGCTCCCCAAGTGCCCCCACCGTGCCCCAGGCTCTGCTCCTCCACTGGAGCTCTCGTGTCCCCATAGGAGAGACCACTCAGGTGTGGCCAGAGAGAAACATGGTGCCCATCTAGCAATGTGTACCTACTGGGTGCCAGGCCCAGCTCAGCTCTTGCCTTGCTACCACAGATGGGCCCCACTGGCCCCAGAGACCACCCGTCTTCAGCTCCTTTTTGCCAAGGAGGGAATCAGGTGAGGGAATCGAGGCCCAGAGATGGAAAACACAGCCTGGGCTCCCCACGGCCAGGGAGCTGGAGAGCTGGCCAGCTCTGTGGCTGCCCAGAGGCCCAACCAAGATCTGGGGCACTGTGGATCATTGAGGGGGAAAGGCCCCACACAGGATGTGGGACCTGTGGGCCTGGAGACGGCACCAGCAGGTGTCCCCTCAATGGCCCTGGCCCACCCCAGGGCCAGGGCTGAATGGCCTATCTCCCCTGGCCCACCAGCAGCTGGTGTTGGTGCCCCAGCTGGCTGGCTCAGGGCGCTTGCAGCTAATCTGACCATAAGGACACAGTGGCCACCGGCAGCAGCCAGGCATGGGAGTCAGGTGCCAGGCGGGCAGAGTGGCCGGTCCACTCATGTGTGGTGAGGACAGGGACAGAATGTCCCAGAAGCTGGGCCAGGGTGTGGGGGCAGGGAGGCCAGTGGACCACAGTTCTGAGTCCTCATGTGCCCCCAGGCCCCAAGCTCCCCACTCACTGCAGGACAAGAGGCCTCCTCAGGCCCAGGATGGGTCAGCATTGCTGGGCCTGCTCTCACACACTCATCCTGGGAGGTTGTGGAGGGAGGGTCTCACTCTGCTCTCCTCCTGGGGGCTTCTGTACATGTGGGTGGCATCCTTGGGGCTCCATTCCTCCTTGGGTCCAAATGACCTTCTATCTCCCAAACCATCCAGATGCCCCCTCCTGGTCTCAGAAGACTCCTCCTTGCCTAGGCGCTGACCCTCCTCCCCCGCCAGGCTCTGGCCCCAGGTCAGGACACCCCATCCACCCTACTCCCTCTTTCAGGTGCTGCCTCTGGCCTGTCCACCACTCCCAGGACCCCTCCTCACTCCAGACATGCCCACCCTCTCTCTGCGCCGGCCCTTGGCCCCTAAACCCCACCTCAGGTTTCAGCACCGATGGCCGTCTGGTGGATCTCTGACTGTGGGCTCCAAGAGAGCCCGGGGAAGCTCCTGAACACCCTCCGGGGCTGCAGGCGGCCCCTCCACACCAGCTGCTCAGGGTCCCAGTCATGCGGGTTCATCTGGGTTACTACCGCTCTGGCAGGGCGAGCCCCCAGGGGTCTCTTGGGCCCTTTGAACTGGAATGAGGGAGGGAGGCTCAATGAGCAGAAATCAGATGGTGGTGAGGGTTTGAGCCTGGGGTGGCCCCCCTCTGGGGTGCTCTGCTGGATGAGGGTGGGGCCCCCTCTGCATGTCCTTCCTAGGATGGGAGGGCCTCTGCGGGGACCTGTCAGGCAGGCATGCTGTGGTATGAGCCCCAATCCAGGCAGGTATCTCCAAGTCCCTGGCCCTCCCTGCACCCATGAGATGAGAAGGACAGCGGGTGCTTTGAGGATCACAGCCTTGGGCAGCTCCCGTGGTCCAGGAACCCTGACCTGTCTACAGTCCTCCCAATCACTTGGACCACGACCCAGGGCATCTGCACCAGAGGGGCCTTGCTGCCTCATTGTCCAGCCCCATCTCCACAGACCAGGCCCTGGTTGAGGCCTCCCTCTGGCCACAAGGAATGGGCAGATAGCCACTGGGCAGGGTTGCACCTCTAGTCTCCAGCCCCTGCCCATGGCTGGAGGGGCCAATGGGTCAGTGAGCACAGCATTCCTGGTTGAGGAGCCCAAGGCACCCAGCTCAGCAGCAGGACCTGTGGGGTGGGGCAGGGAAGCATGGGGGCCCCAGCCAGGTGACAGCTTCCCATATGGGTACGTGGGGCCAGTGACATTGGGGTCCCCTGCCCACTGAGGGCCTGTGTTTTGAGTCAGGGCAGGCAGCTTCCTGGCAGGGAGGGGGCAGGAGGGGCCAGAGGTCAGATTACAGTCAGCTTAGCCCTGCACCCCATGTTGGGAAGATGGGGTCCCACCCCAGGATCCTCTTCCTCTCCGGGTGAAGTAGGTCCCCTTGGCTTATGACCTCGATCTCCAGAAGCTCCCTGATCTCCCTGAGCCTCCATGTCCTGCACCAGGCTCATTCATTGCTGGGTAGAGATGACCCACCCCACAAAGGACTACTCGTTCACCCAGGAGCGACCCCCTGCCCCACCCCACGCCTGACCCCAGGAAGGGCTTTCTTGCAGGGATCAGGCCAGAAGGAGGGCAGTGGTCAGTGCTGGGCAGTCCCTGCCCTGACTCCGTTCAGCCAGGCCTGACTGCCGGGAAGGCTGGGGGCTTGGGGAGGGGCGAGTCAGTTGTGTAATCAAAGCTCGAAGCTGGGGGCTTTGCCAAGTCTGCCTGGAAAGTCAAAGGCCTGGAAATCATGTGCTGGAGGCTCAAGCTGATGCCCCATCAAAGGCCTCTGTAGAGAGGGGAGGGCCCATCCAGGTACCCCAGAGCCTGCAATCTAGCCTGTGCCTCAGCCCCTTGGCCACAGCCAGGGGTCAGGGATGGACAGGGGCTCTGTGGGCAGGTGCCAGGCTTGGCTGTTTTCCCAGCCACATTCCCTGTGACTGCAGCTCACATGCACAAGCAATGCCCTCTGAGGCCCTGCTGTCCAGGCCTCCGCTGCCCACCTCGAGAGCTGCCCAGCCTGTCCCTCGTTTCCTTTTTGTGCTGCTTCTCCTAGCACAGGGGCTCTGGGCCAGCTGGGGTCTGGATGCCTGGAGGGGCGAGTGGGGCTCCCAGGGTCCTGCAGGAGTCACTTCCCTTTTCTGAGAAGCTTTGGCACCAAACGCTTGCCAAAGTTTCATTTTAGGGGGCTGCATCGGAGAAAAGAAAGTTAGCAAGGCTCTGACAGCTGCAGGTCAGTTTCGGATCCGTCCCAGCCGCTCTCTTCCTGGAAGCCGGCCGCCCGCGGCCACTGGGTGAGGAGGACAGGAAGGGCGACCCAGCTGTGAGCAAACCAACCAGAGGTCAGACCCCGGCAGGTTATGACAGGAGGCTCCTAGCAGGGTAGGAGTCAGAGCAGAGAAGGTACAACCTGGCAGGCGGCAGGGGCACTTGAGCAGAGGCTGCATGCCACCCAAAGTGGCAGCTTGCTCAGGATTCCAGTTCTTTCCACCATGATTTCTAGGTTCTGTGCAACTCCCAGGAAAGTCTGCAGCAATGGATGCTGCTCAGAACCTGAGCGAGTGGTTCTAAAGGAGCCTTGAGATAAAATGGGCCTGAAATATGGAAAGACAAGTGGAGGGAGATGGGGGCTAGCCCGGTAGAGAAGTCAGGGCCAGTGGACCAGGCAGGGCTGGAGCCTGGGCAGCCTCTGGGTGTGGATGGAGGGGAGGGGAAGCCATCAGCCTGCACAGGAGAATCATGGCAGGACAGGCTTTCGGGGGTCATGCCCTCCACGCGATGTTCAGGCAGCCTGTCCCCCATGCCCCAACCCAAGCCATCCACCAACAGTGCAGCCTGAGGGCCACTGGGCTCCTGCCCGTGGGAACAGCCCCATTCTGGCCCCAAGGGTCCCTGGATAGAGGAGCTCCCTCTCACAGCCCCCAGACCCCAGGCTTTGCAGACAGGGCTGGTTCTGAAAACAGATCCTACACCAGCAGAGGGTGTCCTGCAGACACTGGGGAACCCCAAAGCTTAGCATGAGTGGCACAGCCCTTGATGTTGCCATGGCTCAGGGGTGAGGGGCCCAAAGCAGCTCCCTAGCCGCTCACCTCTGCAGAGCCTCCTGGCACGGAGGAGTGCGCCAGTGAGTGGGGGAATCAGAGGGTGGCCCACCCTAGGTGCCACAGGCACTGAGTCCAGACAAGCACCCCGCCGGAGTGCACTCAGTCACTTGACCCTGAATGCCCAAGGTGTGCAGTCCCGCAGGTGCCCAGGCAGGGTAGGAGGGGCCGGTCTGGGGGGAAAGGGCCTGAGTGCCCTCAGCCAGATCCCACCCGGTAGCCAGGAACTGGACAGCCTTCCTGCCTGGGACGGGTCCACCACTCAGACCCTGACCGAGCTCGTTTGTGTCTGTAGGCAGCGTGGGGGGGGCACCCAGACATACAGAAGAGGCCCTGCCTCCGTCCTACCCAGAACTCCACACCCAGTGGCCCAGCAGAGCCAGGCATTCGGTCTCTGTCTCTGAGACCCGGGACTGCCTGAGATTCTTTGAAACCTCACCAGAGGGACCAGGAAGGCTCCCCCTCCGTGTGCAGCATCCTCCAGTCTGTCGCCTGCACAGCCTAGCACTGCCTGCTCCCTCCAGTGCAGCAGGGGCAGGAACGGGGTGGGAGGCCGAGCGCCTCACGCTGGACTTTCTGGCCTAGGAGAACCTAGCCGATCCACCCCCACCCCATGCTGCCGTCTCCTCACAGGAACGGGGAGGGGGCTACCCAGGGACCAGGGGCCTCTTCTCCCACTTGACCCCCCAACCCAAAAAACACAGGACATCCACTATATACAAAACAATTTAATTGAAATACCTGTATAAAAAATATGGTCTCCAGACATCTTGCTTTTAAACCGAAAGAAACCCCCGCCCTGATGCCTGCACACCAGGTCACAGAAACAGCTACTAAAATAAATTAAAAGCTCGAGACTCTGTCCCCCCACCCCCCAGCTTCCAGAGCCAACAAGCAGACTGTACAAGGTCAATAATTTAAAACCCAGCCCCCAGGGTGCAGAGCCCCAAGGTGGCGGAGTCACCCACTCCCCTTAAATTAGCCACTGTACAAGTCCTTCCTCCGACAGATGCAGGTGGGGTCGGACCTGGGGTCCACACACACAGCCACCACCTCCCCACCCCCAGGGGCCCAGGAGAGGGAGGCTGCTGAGGGGGATCCTCAACAAATAAATTAAACAATAAATAGCCCTCGCGGGGTCACACCATAAATAGACGTTCGCAGGCTCGCAAACCACACAGGCGGGGGCGCCAGTGTGGGTAGGAGAGGCCTGAACATTGCATTGCTTGTGCACAGACATGCCCGGACGAACACCGAGGACGAGGGCGGGTGCAGGAGGTGGGCACGAGGGACCCTGTGCCCCAGTGAGTTGAGGCCACAGGACATGAGAGCGCTCCTGGTACAACTTGGTCAGATGGGGAGGCGCTGGGGCCCACAGGGCCACCTCCCGGAAGCACAGGGCAGGGACAGTCTCGGGGTCAAGCACCCGCCCAAGACAAGTGGGACCTTGCTTCGACCGGAGGTCTTTGGACAGACAGAGCTTGAGAAAACCAAGTCCCGTGAGAGCAGCGTTCGAAAAGGCACTCAAAGCAAAGGAAACAGGCCCAGTGCCAAAGATAAAGGTCACCAGGGGTCAGAGGTCACTGCTTTCTCAAGGAGCAGCCAGCCCTAGCAGGACAGGCCCTGTGAAGGGCTGGGGCTGGGGCTGGGGCAGGTGGTCCCTCTGGCTCCCACAAGCCAGGTGCAGGTCCCTCCTCACAAGCTCTCGCTGCTGGAGGTGGTGCTGGCCCCATCGTCTGCGTCCAGGGAGCAGAGGCGAAGGTCACAGTTCTCGGGGGTGGCCCCATCTGCCCCCAGCATCCAGGGGTGGGTGGAGATTTGGTCCAGCGAGGGCCGCTCTGAGGGCCGCAGGGACAGACACCACTGAATGAGCTGCTGGCACTCTGTGGGGGAGGAGGGAGGGCCAGGGTCAGGAGGGGGCCAGCTCCTGGGTGGGGTGCGTCCCCTTGCCAGCCTCACCCAGACCCCCACACACCTGGGGAGACCCTTCTCCGGAAGAAGAGGCGGCCCCGCAGAATCTCCTCGTCCTGCTCGAAGGGGATGTCCCCGCACACCATGTCGTAGAGCAGCACGCCCAGGGACCACACGGTGGCCGAGCGCCCGTGGTAGCGGTGGTAGCGGATCCACTCGGGAGGGCTGTACACCCGGGTGCCTGCGGAACGCGCGGGGTTAGGACGCCCGGCCCGGGCGCCAGCGCCACTCCAAGCTGGCACCGAACGCGAACGCCCAGACCCTGCCCTGCCAGTTAATCATCCGCAGCCCTGCGCCAGCAGAGGGAGCCGGCGAAACCCTGCCCGTCATCGCCCTGGAAAAACCCCGCGGGCGTGGCCTCCCCCGACTCGCGGGGGAGGAGCCGGTCACGTGGGCGCCGGCTCCGGTTTCACAACAAACAGATGCGAGGTGAGGAT